TTTTATACACACACACACACACACACACACACACACACACACACACACACACACACACACACACACACACACACACACACACACACACACACACACACACATCACACACACGTTACCCCCCCCCCCCAAACAGACACGGTGTTTCAGCGGACGATCATTCCATATGCAAGTGCGTTTGGAATGGAGGCAAACGAAACGAGCGTGCTGTCCTTCTTGGAGTACATGGAGGACCACTATGCCGCTTCCATCAAGAACATTGAAGACATCGAGCTGCCTGCGTACATTTTCGCGTCGCTGCCAACGCAATCACCGTCAACGAAGACTGGTGGCGAAGATGGCGAAGATGATGGTGGGAATGGTGACGATAATGACGAGGACGCTACTGCCAGTGCCAGTGGCAGTGATGGCATTCACAGACTGGCGTTTCGTGACTTTCAAATCCCAGGTGAGCTGCGTTTGTTTGTTTGTTTGTTTGTTTGTTTCTTTCTTTCTTTCTTTCTTTCTTTCTTTCTTTCTTTCTTTGCACATGTGTTCGCCAAACTTCACGCAATACTCGCCAACCCTCGCGGCCTCCCCGCCATGACCCTTCGCGTGAACCACAGAGTGCATCGGCCCACATGTGTCGGAGATTGAGACGCGCACGAAACAGTTTTATCTCGGACCGGCCGGCAGCGGCGCACCCATGCACGTGCACAGGTCAGCTCGATGGTGGTGGTGGTGGTGGTGGTGGTGGTGGCGATAACGACGTGTGCTGTTTGTGCTTTGAAGATGGTTCGTGTGATGGCGGCCTTTGCGGCTTCGGTTTCGTTGCTTGGGAACAGACCGCATGCTGTCCACCGCCCAGCTCCTCCTCCAACCGCCTCTCTTCTCCACGTCACACAACACACAACACACAACACACATCACACTTCACACACCACCACAGCGGTTCGTGGAATGCGCTCGTGTATGGGCGGAAGCGGTGGTTTCTCCTGCCGCCACCGCTGGCCATCTACTCCAAACAGCACCCGCACGACTTTATCGACGAACAACTGCCCGCACTCAGGTGCGAGTTTTTTTTGTTCGTGTGTGTGTGTGTGTGTGTGTGTGTATTCTCGTGCTTGCTTGTCGACTCAACTTGTTTTGCTCCTGTTCGTGTCGTTGAAGCGTTGTGTCACACCTAGCAATCTCAACCCTGTTCACACTCATACACACACAACACAACATACACACAGGGCGCGTGGTGCTGTATTGGAGTGCATTCAGGAGAGCGGGGACGTGGTGTTTGTGCCTGAGATGTGGGCGCACGCTGTACTCAACGAAGCAGAGAGCATCGGCTTCGCTTCGGAGTTTGCATGGGGCGGGAATGCGTTCTCCCTCCCCGCACCTGATGACGTCGATGATGGCAGTGATGGTGATGATGATGGTGAAGAGGAGGAAACGCATGGTCGATGATGGCAGTGATGGTGATGATGATGGTGAAGAGGAGGAAACGCATGGTCGATGATAGCAGTGATGGTGATGATGATGGTGAAGAGGAGGACACACATGGTCAATGATGGAGTGTGGTGTTGGTTCGTACACGGTTATATCATTTCAAGACACATCTTGCTGGTGCAAGACCATCGCTGTTCTTCCGTGTGGTATCATGTTCTTACCCCCCCCCCTATTCACATCCTTACGTTCATGTGCATGTGCTGGTCCGCATGCCGCGTGTGTGTCGAATACATTGCCTCGCTTCACTTGCACGCTGAACACTGGTCGTGCATGGGGGTGTTCTGTCCTTTATTTGCGAGGGCTCCATGTAACATGTGATGTAACACACCGCATTGCCGCACAGAGAGAGAGAGAGAGAGAGTGCGACAACGCACACATACGCCTAAACACCTACACAACAAGTCCACACGTATCTTCACACCCAGCACAACAAACAAGCAAACACTCAACACAAACAAACAGACAACAAGCAGCACAATACTCAACACGCACACGCCTACAACAGCAAACGCAAACAGCCACATTCAACACAAACAGCCACACTCAACGTTACACACACATACGCACACATACGCACACACACACACGACCACGGCCAGCCCTACTCCTCGCTGGGCTCCGCCGTCTCGGTCTCGGCTTCGGCGTCGCCTTTGGTGTGCGGGATGGGCTCGCCAGCAAAGTGGGCAACCACACCCTCGTGGAACATCTGCCGCAGATGCGGCACTGCAAACATGTCCACGTGCCCGCCGTTGTCCAGCTCAATAAACTGGGCGTGCGGGATCAGCTTCAGGATGGTCTCGTGGTTGTGGAACGGCACGACAATGTCCTTGTTGCCCCAGACGAGCAGGATGGGCAGCTCCTGGCGACGGCCAAGCTCCTCAAAGGACGCCGTCAGCCCGCCAAACTTGAAGTTGCGCACGGTGTTGATGAGCGCCTTGCCGTGTGCCGGGTGGTGCTTCGCCAGCTCTGCGCCGCGCTTGAGCGTGTTCTCCAGATGCTCCTTTGCGCCCTCGCGCGTCGGGTCCGCGTACGACCGCGCAGCGCCATCGGCGATGGTCTTCTTCGACGCCATGGACAGCAGCGCCTCCCCGAGCCCGGGCACCTTGACCAGGGACGCCAGGAACGGCATGTCGTTGGGCAGGCCCGCCGGGCACACGAGCACGAGCTTCTTCACCAGGCGAGGGTGCATGTGCGCAAACTTGGCGGCGATGGCGCCGCCCATGGAGCTGCCGATGAGGTAGATGCCCTTCGCGCTCTGGTAGTCCGTCTCTTCCGCCACGGCGAGCAGCAGCTCCGCCACCTGCGACGTAAACAGGTGCACGTCGTTGTACACGTGCTTCGCCGGTGCGTCCGTGAACCCACGGCCGTACAGGTCAGGCAGGAGGCACTGGTAGCCGAGCGGGACCAGCTCCTCCGCCAGCTTCAGGTACGCGGCACCCTCCGCGCTGATGCCATGCAGGCACACGACAAGCGGCTTTCCTTGCGGCTTTCCGAGCAAGCGGTAGTGCGAGCGGCCATAGCTGCACTCAAAGAACGTCCCGGGCGCCTTGGCGCACATCTCTTCCGACGGCTGCTGCGACATGGTGACCTGTGGTTGACGTGTGGTGGTGGTTGTGTGGTGTTGTGGTTGTGTTGTTGTAAATGGAGCGTGCGCGTTCATCTTCGTCCACGCATCCTTTTGTCAATCTCGATGATGAGTCATCACCACCACTGGCCAGATGATTCGATGCACAAACACAACACCACAACACAAGCCACAGAGTACAGCCCAGATGCTATGTGCACTTGTGTGTGTGTGTGTATGTGTGTGTGTGTGTGTGTCTGTGTGTGTGTGTGTGTGTGTGTCTGTGTGTGTGTGTGCTTGGTTGCAGCTTTGCTCGGCCGCTTGGTCACTTAGTCACTTGCTTCCTTCGGTTTGGCTTCGTTTACAAAGGACAGGTATGTGCAGCAAGCAAGCAAGGGAGGAAGGAAGAAGGGAAGAGAGAAGTCTGCCTTGTTTGACATGATGAGGGCTTTGAGCACCCGCTTGGCTTTGTTCATGCGCACACTCCATGTCTGCGTTGCTGCCTACTTGCGGAACGGCTTGAGCATGTCACATATGTTGTCAAAGGCTTCCTGGATCTGTTCTCGTGACTTGGCCCCTGTAATCACAAGCTTGCCACTGCAATCACAGCAGACAACACAACACAAGAACATACACGTGAGGGACGTTGGATGCAGCATGAATGCAGCGGTCCATTCGCGCATGACGCAGTTGTTTCAACACAAACACGCACACGCACGCACACACACGCACACGCGCGCGCACGCACTTGCATACCTGACAAAGCAGAGGACGACGCAGCGTGGCTCGGCCATGCGAAACACGAGTCCCGGAAACAGCTCAGGCTCATAGCTGTGCATGATATCCAGTTGATGTGGTTTGAGAAACACAAAAGACCACACCTCACACGCTCACGACGCAAAGGCGATTGCATTGTACATTCACACCTACCCACACCCATTCACACAACCCACCCCCGCTACCACCACACACAAAACAGCAAAACTCACGTGGAGAAGACGGGGTAGTGTGCCTGGAGGGCTTCGAGGCGAATGGGAAACCGACAGTCGCACTTGGCCACCATGTTCTGAACCTTGAAGCCATCAAACCTCACGCGGGCTGCTTCCTCTTGCTCGCCCTCCTCCTCTTCGTCGTCGTGATCTCGTTGCCCACCGTGTTCCGTGAGCATCGCCGTGGCTGCTTCCCGTGCGGCCGCCTTCTCTGCTCTCTCCTGGTGAGTGCAGATGTGTTTATGCAACAGGTGAGAGGGCGTGACGGTGTGCGTCAAGCGGTGAGGTCACAGGCCACAGCCGTTGAGACTTGAACTTCAAGCGCGCGCACACACACACACATACACAGACACACACACACACAGACACACACACAGAGGCACACACACACACACACACAAACACACATGCAGGTTTCAACGAAGACACCAACCAGATGGAGGATCTTCCTGATGATCTTGGCAAACTTCTTTGCTGCTGCCCGCGCTTCCTCTGGACTGCTCATGTGCAGAAGTAAGCAGGTTTGACAGTTCACCACGAGGAATGAACGTCAACACCAAATAGTGGAAACAGCCCAAGCAAATGAACACACACTCACACACCCACACACTCACACGCTCACTCACACTCACGTGTACACACACGCACTTATACACACACACACACACACATACTCACACGTGCACTCACTGACACTCTCTCACACACATGCACACACCCACCCCTTGGTGCCGGTGCAGATGAGCTTGCCCGTGGCGAAGACAAGCGCGGTCGCTTTCATAGGCCGCCCTGTTCTTCTGCGCGAGGCAATGTGTGATGTGTTCTGCTTCTCCTCATCCCGAATTCTCATGACCATGGCAGAGAACCGCTGTGTGTGTGTGTGTGGTTTGTGTGTGTGGTTTGTGTGTGTGTGTGTGTGCGTGTGTGTGTGTGTGTGTGTGTGTGTGTGTGTGTGTGTGTGTGTGTGTGTGTGTGTGTGTGTGTGTGTGTGTGTGTGTGTGTGTGTGTGTGTGTGTGTGCCTCAACGAAGGCGGCAGGAACAAGATACGTGAATCAAAGTGCCAAGAGCAGAATGCAGACATACACACACACGCTCGCGCACTGTTCCGTACGTTTGGTGTGTACTGTGCGTTTCTGGCGTGCATGGCAATGTACTTGAGATCTAAGGTCAAGCCCAAGTTGACGGTTGCAACGACGTTCCTGTTGATGCAAGGGCCGTGGACGTGCGTGCATGCGTGGGGAGGTGGCAGGGGTGAACTGCTGTTGTGCCGGTGGTGGGGCACACTCAACTCCCGCAGCTCTCACTTACATCCTCACTCACACCCGTGCACTTGCACCATGCACATGCATTCTTGTGTGCCCATCCCACTTACACTATCTCAGGCAGCCCCAGTTGAGCGAGGGTGGCTGCCTGCTGAGCTGCACTTAAGCCACTGCTTGATGCTGCCGCGTGGGTGCTCGTGGCTGCGCTTGCGTGCGAGATATCCTCCGTCGTATCCATACTGACGTTCAGTGGCGTGGTGGTGGTGACGTGATGTGGTGCGTTGTTGCCTGCTTCTGCGTTTGCTTCCTTCGCTGTGTAATGTGTCTTGTCGTGTGTATGCGCGCGCTTTGGGTATACATACGAGCAGCGGCAGAGGGCAAAATTTTCATGCTGTCGTGATGAGGAAACACCGCCTGCTGTGTTGGCGATGATCATCTCCCACTGTGTATTCTGCATGTCACACACACCCACACCCACACAGACACATACATCCCCACACACAGACACAATCACAACACACACACATAGGAGCATATGGTGGGTTCAGGCTTGGTCTACTTGCGGGCGGCACCAAACAGGCTTGATTTGGACTGGAAGGAAGACGGCGAGCCTTGCATCGCCTGCTGCCCGCCAAACCCGCCACCACCACCAGCCTGCAATTCACGGACACACGAGGAAAAAATTCATTGAGCAAATGCGTAGCAATGGTGTTGGAGTGCACACACACACACACGCACACACACACACACATACGAGACACACACACACACACACACACACACACACACACACACACACGAGACACACGACAGCATCAGCATCAGCACACCACATGCATACCGTGTTGGAGAAGCCGCCAAAGCCTTGCTGTGCACCGCCGCTGCCGGGGCTCTGGAACTGCGCAGCAAACACAACACGCACAGTGACAGTGATAGTCGGGAGCGCGATGAGACAAAGGAAAGGTGAACGAGCACACCGTGCAAAGCAGGTGTGCATGTGTGCGTGGGCGAGGGAGTGAGTTGGGGTGTGTGGGTGTGTTGTGGGTATGGGAGTGTAAAACTTGCTTGAAGCGTGTGTGTGTGTGTGTGTGTGTGTGTGTGTGTGTGTGTGTGTGTGTGTGTGTGTGTGTGTGTGTGTGTGTGTGTGTGTGTGTGTGTGCCCCAATACCGATGCGCTCTGGGCGGAGAACGACGAGAATCCACCAGATGCCGGCGGTGTTGCAAATCTGAACATATTTACCCACACAAATGCAGGGCAAGGGATGATATGAGTGGAGAAGTGAGCAACAAGGACAGGCATCAAACAGCAGCAGGAACAGCAACAGCAACAACAAGAACAACAGCGGGCAACACGCACCCTTGTTTTGGTTGGGCCATAGCTGGTGGTTTTGCGGCCTGTCCAAACTGGGCACCCCACTATCAAACACACCAGCAGGTGTGAGCACGACATGCTATCAATGCAGCCGATACCAAAACACCCACACCCACACCCACACAACAAACAAACAAACAAACAAACAAACAAACAAACAAACAAACAAACAAACAAACAAACAAACAAACAAACAAACAAACAAACAAACAAACACACACACACACGCACCCCATCCCCCCCACACACACACCTGGTTGCCTTGGGATTGGGGCTGGCCGCCGAAGAGAGACGTGTTACCGCCGCCACCACCGCTCTTAAAGAGAGAACCACCACCACCACCACCACCACTGCCACTCTGTGCAAACAACGACCCCGGTTGCTTCTGTTGCTGCTGTTGACCTCCAAACAGAGATCCAGGTGTTGTCTGCTGCTGCTGCTGCTGCGGACTTCCTGCAGGCTTCTGCCCAAACAGCGAGCCGCCACTTTGCTGCTGCTGCAGTTGTTGCCCACCACCGAACAGAGACCCTGCTGCCTTCTGTCCAAACAAACCACCTCCGCCCCCACCCTGCTGCTGCTGCCCTCCACCAAACAGCGATCCTGGCGCCTTCTGCCCCTGTCCTTGCTGTTGCTGCTGTTGCTGCTGTGGTGGCGTACCAGCCGGTTGCTTACCAAACAGACTGCCAGTGGGCTTCTGCTGCCCAAAGAGAGAGCCGCCACCACCCCCTTGCTGCTGCTGCTGCTGTTGTTGGGGGCTGCTCTGGGCTTTCTGCCCAAAGAGAGAGCCGCCACCACCACCCTGCTTCTGCTGGCCTCCGCCAAAGAGCGACCCAGGTGCCTTCTGTCCTTGTCCTTGTTGCTGTTGCTGCTGTTGCTGCTGTGGGCTTCCTGCAGGCTTCTGCCCAAACAGAGATCCACCACTGGTCTGCTTCTGCTGTCCACCAAAGAGGGAGCCACCGCCTTGCTTCTGACCGCCTCCCTGCCCAAACAGACTCCCCGTTGGCTTCTGCTGGCCAAACAGTGACCCTGCTCCACCCGTTTGCTGTTGCTGCTGGGTTGCACCAGTCGCATCCTTGCCGCTGGGTGTGGTTGCCTTTTGCCCAAACAGCGAGCCACCAGCACCACTGGGCTTCTGCCCAAACAGCGAGCCACCAGCACCACCGCCGCCTGGCTTTTGGCCAAACAGTGACCCTGGTGCCTTCTGCGCTTGCCCTTGTCCTTGTTGCTGCTGTTGCTGTTGCTGTTGCTGTGGGCTGGTGGTGGTGGTGGACGGCTTCTGGCCAAACAGGGAACCCGTTGGCTTCTGGCCAAAGAGCGACGGCGCCGCCTGCTGCTTGTCTTGCTGCTGACCAGCAGCGGCAGTGCTGCTCTTGTCCTCCTCCTTCGTTGCCGCAGGCTTTGGTGCAAAGGGCGAGCCTGCACCAGTCTTCTTCTGCTGTCCAAACAGCGAGGGCGTGGCAGACTTGCTGTCCACGTCCTTTTCTTTCTGCTCTTCCTCCTTGTTCTTGGCATCTTCCTCCTTGCTCGTGCCTGCAGGCTTGCTTCCAAACAGCGACGGCGTCCCCGCGTTCCCCTTCTCGCCATCCTTGGCGCCTGATGCAAGAAATGCGCGCGCGCGTGTGTGTGTGTACGAGTGAGACACATAATACAAGAAGCAAGCTGAAAGAACGGGTACACAGCGCGCAACGCAAGGTGCAGACCAAACACGCACACATATACACACACACTACACACACTCTCTCACATCTACACACACCTGAACCAAAGCTGAGGCCAGACAAGCTGAGCGATTTCGAAGAAGAAGACGAAGAAGAAGAGCCGCCAAAGAGCGACGAAGATGGCTTGGCTGCGGCCGCTGGTGTTGCTGTTGCAGGTGTCGACTCCTTCGCCTTCTCCTCAGGTGCTGCCGTCTTCTCAGCAGTTCCCGTGCTGGTGGCGGGCGGCTGTGCCTCATCCTCCTCCTCCTCATTCTTGGCGGCAGTACCCTGACCTTCCTGACGTTTCTCCTCTTCGCCACCAAACTTGCTCGTCTGCTTCTCTTCCCTGTCTTTCTTCTTCTCATCCGCCTTCTTGCCAAAGCTCTCCCCACTAAACGTGAGGGGCCCCTTCGTTGTCACACCGCCGCCACCGCCGCCGCCACTACTTGTGGTCGCACCAAACCCAAACCCCGACTTCTTCTCCCCATCACCCTTGTTCTGCTGCTGTGGTGTGGCTGGCTTGGCTGTTGTGCCAAAGCCCTTGCTGCCCATGCCAAACGAAGTTTTGCTTTGTGCACCGCCATCACCACTCGGCTGATGCTTTCCTGCTGCTGCTGTTGTGGCTGTACCAGCAGTGGTTGGAGGCGTGGACTTGCTTGCAAACGAGAACGGCGTGGTGGCACCACTCTTGGTCGTGCTTGCAGTGCCATCCTTCAGTGCCCCAAACGCACCAGCGGACGAAAGAGTGCCTGATGGCTTGGCTGTTGTCTTGGCTGCAAACGAGAACTTGCTTCCTTGCGGCATTGCGGCTGCCGCTGCCGTCTTGGAGCCAGTGGCGGCAGTGGCGGAGGTGGCCGTTGCTGCAGCTGCTGTTGGTGGTTTCTGCTGTTCGCTCTTGGCACCAAATCCAAACCCGGTGCTTGTTGGCGTGGCTGCTGCTGTTGTTGTTGTAGCAGCTGCCGTCATGGACTTTGCTGCTGTTGCCTGTGCTTGCGAGGGCCTCACAGCACCACCGCCACTTGATGCAGTTGTTGCCGCCGCCGTTGGCGTCTTTGCACCCGTGGATGCACCTGCAGAAGCACGAGGGGTGGACACCATAATGTGCTCTGCTGGACGGCGGGTCCCGTCCTCCGCTGTCGTTGGGCGTGAGCCAATGGCCGAAATGCCTGCAAGCACGGACTCGTCATCAAACTGGATGAGGGAGTCGTCTGCCGCTGCGGCAACAGACACGTTGAGATCCTTCATGCCGCGCAGCACGCTGATGAGGGCATCCCTGTCCCTGGAGGTGTTGAGGCCAGCACCAGCGCGGTAGCCGCCGCGGCGGGGGTGGTCGCGCTTGCGAGGGGAGCGGGCGGCAACAGCGCCGCCGCTGGGAGGGGGCGGTGGACCATCGGGGCCCATCGTGGTGAACAGCTTGTTGTACTTGAGGTACTGCACCCAACGCAAACAGGCAGTCGTGGCGGTGGCGGTGGTTGGGTGAGCGCGCGTGAGGAGGGGCTGCGGTGTCAAAGGCTCGTGCAAAGGGATGACAATAAGTAGGACAACCCAGTGGAGCGATGAACAGGTGATAAACAGTGCTGAACAATGCTGAACAATGCTGAACAGTGCTGTACAGTGCTGAGACATACGCACAAGGTAACACAGACAGATGGACACAGACAGACAGACACAGACAGACAGACAGACACACACACACACACACACACACACAGACACACACGCACACAGAACTGCCCGCACCAGGTCCCTGTACGACGCGTCGATGTTGCGCATGACTACGGCAGCAGACTCGAGAAAGTGCGCTGGGCGCTGCTGCTGCTGCTGCTGCTGTGTTGCTGGGGCGAGGGCAGCGCGGGCCGTGTCAATGGAGAGACGCACGTCACGCTCCAGGCGTTCCAGTTCCTGAGACGAAATGGAGGGTGAAGGAGATTGGTGAGGTGGTCATCCTGATGATGCACGCACGCGTACAAGCAAGTAGAAACATGCGTACACAGAAAGACAGAAAGACAGACGCACACACACACACACACACACACACACACAGACGCCCACAGACACAGACACACAAACACGACTGACTGGGAACCACGTGCATCCCACCTTCATCTCGCGGGCCTGTGCAAAAGTGAGGGGGCGGTTGCGTGTGCGGCGCACGTAGCTCCTGTTGTTGTACTGCGTCGTCTGGCACACATCCGCAATGCGTTTGGCGGCTGCACAGCTCCGCCCCGCGTCAGCCCTGGCGCGCTTCGTGTCGTGCACACGTCGAGACAGCTGCTCGTAGAGATCATCAACAGCGCGCGTGTTGGCAGCAGCGGCGACGCTCGGCCGAGTGCGGATGCTGTCCGCCGGGTCTGCACGCGACTGCTCCAACACGGCCGTCATATCCGCAATCTCCTTGAGCGCAGCCGCCACAAGCGCATCGGTTGACGGAGCAGGGGGTGAGCCGGATGGTGGCTTCTGCTGCTGCTGCTGCTGCTGCTTCTGTTTCGGCTGCTGTGGGGTGGACGATGGTGGTTGCTGCGGCGTGGAAGGCGTCTGCTTGGGGGTGGAGGGTGCACCTGTGGCGGCACCAAATGCCGACGTCTTCGCTGCTGCGCTGTCAGTCGCCTTGCTGCCAGCACCTTGGGCCGTGGTGCTTGGCTTCTCGCTGATGCCGGTGGCAGCTGTGCCGCCCGTGGGCGTTGGCGTTGCTGCTGTCGTTGCTGCTGGTGAAGATGTGGCGGGGGGTTTGCTCGTGTCCTTGGCAGGGGTGGCTGCACCCTCCTTGCTGCCGAACGAAAACGGCGAGCCCTTACCCTTGTCGCCACCAAACACGGACCCACCTGGCGCGCCTGTTGTTGCGGCTGACTGCGGGGCGGATGGTTTGCCAAACGACAGCTTGCTGCCGCCACTGAAAGGGCTCGCCGTGGACGATGATGACGATGGTGTTGCAAGTGTTGTTGTTGTTGCTGTTGGTGTTGATGTTGGGGCGGAGAATGGTTTCGTGCCCGCTGCCGTTGCCACATCCTTCTTGCCGCCAAACGGCGAGCCAGACGCGAACCCACCGGTTGCAGCAGCTGGCGTCTTTGTCTTGTCGCCGCCAAAGAGGCTGGTGGCGGCCGCTGGCTTTGCGTCCTTCTTGTCACCACCGCCAAACAGCGACGTGCCACTGCCCAGTGCACCTGTTGCCTTGGTTGGCGTCGTCGTCGTCGTCGTCGTCGTTGGTGCCGCCGCGGTAGTCGATGGCTTGGCTGCCGCCGCCCCAAAAGGCGATGCACTGCCCTTCTTATCAGCACCGCCACCGCCAAAGCTGAATGGGGACGCGCCGCCTTTGCTCTGGTCGCCGCCAAACAACGACGTTGCACCCGTGCTCTTGCCAAACGGAGATGACGTGGATGCTGCCGTCGTGGCAGGGGCGGCGGTGCTGCTGGTTGTGCTGGTGGTGGAACTTTTGGCTGTCTGTGTTGCAGGTGTAGATGGTTGTGCCTGTGTTGCAGGTGTCGATGGCTTTGCCGGCGCGTGCTTGCTGCTCGGGAATGGGATGCACTGGTTCATGGGCGTCTGCAGCGCCCGAAACTCCGGCACAGCCTGAAGCGTGATTTGGAGGATGAGGAGGAGGGGGGGGGGAGGGCGGAGGTATGAGGGGAAGTGGGAGAGTGAATTGTGTGACCTCAGGGTGTCGAAGCAGACACACACACACACATACACATACACAGGCAGCGCGCGTACGGTTTCCATACACGCAACACACGCGTGAACATCTACACGGCCGTGCACAAACAACCATGCACACAAGATGGGCCGGACCTGCCCTGCGCGGTACGTCGTGTTGACGAGGGAGTAAGCGGCAATCTTTGGCTTCTCCTCGTCGTCGTCAAAGGACAGGAGGAGGAAGACGGGTCCGGGCGCCAGC